GCGGCGGAGCGGCGGCCGTTGAGCTGCGTGTGGCTCAGGGCGGGAAGAGCGGCGGAGCGTCCGAGCGCTCTTCCCAAACGCCACAAGTGCCGCCTGGACGGGCGCCGCGCAAACGCCCGTGTTTTTTTGCCTGTATTTAAATATTTTTATGCCGCCGCGGCGCGGGGAGGTCTCCAGCGAAGGGGGCGATGGCCCCGAACGCGCCGCCGTTCAGGCCGTCTGGCGAGGCCCCCCTCGCGATACCTGAACATTATTTACAGTCTTCTTAAGGAAGCGTTTCTGAAGTAGACCTTTTAAAATAACCGTCTTTCATACCTTTCATCTTCAAAAGGCTTTAAAAACCAGTCATTCAAATTTATTATTTTTTGTCCTCGAGGCAAAACCTCCTGCTAATAAATTTTCAGCGTTGTAATGCACATCTCCACCATATTACTGTGAAAATGCTACAGTAAAAATAGATCAGAGGAGAAGGAAGAACGAGAGGAAGAGAGATAGGGACAATTGTTGGTTTCTCCCGTCCTTTTTTTTTTTTTTTTTTTTTTTCTTCTTCTTTTTCCCTCTCAGAGGCAAGTTTCTGCTCTATTTACGTTCTTGAGGTGTGGTTTCGACACAAAGCGTGTTTCATTGTAGGCATCGGGCAGTTGCCTCATATTTAGCTGGAGGAGGGACACTGTCTTTCTGCACAAACACCAAGGTTTCATAGGAGACGAGTGCGGGGCAAGGTTTAAACGAGTCAAGCACAGCTCACAGCGGAGCCTTGGAAGAGGAAAAAAGTTTCCTCCTTTCATCTTGGGTGCCAGCCCTGAGCGCCTGGCCTGTGCAGGGAGAATGTGCGAATTAGCAGAAACGTTTGCAACCTTTCCCTCTGCACGTTCACCCCTTGTCACTGCAGGCAGGACCTGTCCGTAAATGCAAAGTGCATTTTTCTGGTCAGCCTTTCCCTGCCCTCCGCTTTTTTGTCTGGAGCTCTGTGGCAAGTGGGATGTTTCCGAGTGTGAGCACGGAAAGCAATTACCGAACCAGGAAAGAGTTTAGCATAACATTTCTTTACACAAACTGTCTGTTTAGCTGTATGTAGCCACTTGATGCTTATTACTAATGCAGAGCCGGCTACTCCCTTCAGCGTAGCATTTAAAATAAGGCAGACTAATTTCAATCCAGCTCTAATACATATTCACATTCATACAATAAATAACTTTTGTATCCCTTTGTATCCTTTTTTTTTTCCAAAGACTGCTCACCAATAATTCTTTCTTTTTAATTCCAGCTTAAAAACAGATGTGTTAATAAACGGATTTTAAAACCTTGCTTTGTTTTTTTTCTGTGCAAATGCCCTTCATGTAAACTTTTTTAAACCTRAAGAGTTTAAACCTAAAGGGACTTTGAATCATGAGTGACCTCCCATGAAATGACAAAGTTAAATTAACAATAATTTAAAAATGTGAAACTAATAATACTGTGCTATGCTACTCAGTTCATTCAGTACTTTCAGTCCAGAAGGAATACAGGGCTAGGCAGCACCTCCTATAGCACATCTATAAGTAACTTTCAGATATTTATGTAAATTGTACAGCTGTACTAACTGAAATGTATCTGAGACTCGCGTGCTTTAATTACATGTTTTACCTCCACTAGATTAAATGAATGATAAACAGTTTCAGAATTGTTTTTTTGTTTTGCTTTTGTTTTATATGTGTACATTTGTAAAGGGCCCTCTCTGGGAAATGCTTTGGCAGCTTAATTAGAGCAGTATCACAGAGCAACGCTCTGTATATGCTCAACGTTTACAGAAGCGGCTCCGCGTGCATTTAATTTTTTTTAAAAGGATATAATTAATTCTGAACTGCAAGTAAACAAATCTAATCCCTTCGCCATGTTTTTTGCTAATCATGGGCCAAGTCCTATAGTCTTTAGTCGAGCAGCAGTCAATGGAAGSTTACTAAAGGGTATACTATTTTTAAAGGCTACTTTTTATTTTAACATTTCTGTTGTCACTAACATTTAACCAGACAAGTCAGATTAACTGCTGTACCTACTGAGATTCACTGTTCTGTGTGACCTACACAGTGCTGCACTATTCACATTACCTTCTAAAAGATTGTTTAGATCCAGGCAAAAATTATTTGATATCATGCTTTGATAGTTTCAGTTTTTACYACGTTTATCCTTCATTTTTTTTTAGAAATTCAAAATTATTAATAAAATGCCAGCTAAGAGTGTCTCCTAAATTAAGGTTTATTTAATATAGGAGTTTGTAATTAATCACCAGAAAAATACAAGCTTACATTTATAATCATTTAGAATATTTCTGTTTATTCACTGATTTTGCAGACAGAGTTAGAAGTTTATCCTTTAACAGTCAGACACATTTGCAGCAGAAAAGCCAAATGAGTGATTTTAAACCGAGCTTAGTTCAGTTCATGTAAGTGTGAATTTCAGCAGAATTACTTGGGAATTGCTGTAAGAAGTGACCCTTCCTCTGTAACGCAGAACTCCGAGCATCTTATAAAAGATTATTATGTAGTATATGGATAATATACAATATTAGGACATATGCCATATGAGATATATTTAAGAAACATGTATGCATGAATATATTGTTGAGTATAGTAATAAAAAAATGAAGATTATTCTCCAAGTGAAATACGGAAACAAAATGTTTAAAGGCAAGCACCTATAGCTGAGCGAATATGAAGAACATCTTCCAACGTATTTAGTTGCTGATAAGAGAAACGCAACATACCGCCCTTGAGAGCATTACTCGGTTTAATAAAAAAGGGTTAAATTTTGTGAAACTCTTTAAATGCTCCAGGTTCGGAGTGGGCAGGGATCCAGGCATTCTGAGTGAATGTAGCCTCAATTGCTTTGAACTCTCTTGTTCTCTGCATTCCTCTTCGCTTAGTAGTGCTGTACCCATTAGGGAAGACAGGAGAAAACAAGAACAAATGTCAAGTTCCAGGCAGTTGGGAGCCTGGCAGTGGCGCATCCCAGCGCTGCCTTTGGGAGTGGGGCTGGGAGCAAGAGGGCTCCGGATGGCTGGAACAGGGGAGGAGAAACAGGCAGGCCCTCTTGCTTTCTCCTAATTCGTAGGCGACATGAGGTGTAACTTGAGGGAAGGCCGGGCTCTGTCCTCGTCAGGAGGGAAAGCACGAGAGTTTAAGGGGACTTGAACATGTGCCCTGCTTGGAGAGAGAGGGAAGGATCGGAAAGATGTGGAGAAATTGCTTCACACGTTGGTGGGCTGGATAAGCTTTGCTGGACTGCTGGATAAGCTGGACTTCCAGACATACTAAGACGTCTGAGAATAATTTTAAGAGTTGTTAGTTCATTCGGAGGTCTGTCCTGAAGCAGCARTATCCACTTCATTATTTTTTTTCATATAAGCTAGCTAGAGAAGTGGAAATAAGGACTCCACTTGCAAAATCAGAAGTCATCTGTACTTTTGACCAGTCATTAGACTACATCTCCTCAAGACAAAAAATGATTCCCTTCCTACTTTCTGTTTTCTGTAAGGCAGTAGGATCCCTTTCTCAATCTGACTTTCCACTGAAAACAAGATTGCAGTAGCTACAAGGTGCCATCTTAGCTCATGACAGGCTTTGGGAATGTCACTCGTGCTACATCATACAGCACCACCACAATGAGGAATGTAGCAGGGTGACTTTCTGTTTAAGCGAACGTGGAAAATGATAAAATGATAGTCTGCTGCTGTGTACCTTTTTTGGATGGTATTTGAGGATTAGCTTACGTTGGTGTTCCCTTTGCTCCCACAAAGTAAAGCCTGGTTGCCATTTTKCAAGTCACTTTACCAAAATACTGTGAACAGACCCTAGAGAGGAAAGGATATTCTTCTTGAAATAACGAATGACACTTCCTAATTAAGGCAGCCTGGCGTTCTAGATAAAACCAAAACAACTCCCCCAAACTACATCTTGACCTTTTCCGCTCAGAGCAATCCGTTAGCGTTGCAGTTCCACCTCTCCGTCACAGTGTGTGAAGTCTTACAGCCAAAAAAATGGCTCTTGGACAAGGCTTTGTTGTGGAATATGTACAGAAAAAGTGTTTGGATTTCCCAATCCCCCTGGGTAGCCCAGGACAGTTGAGCAAAAGCATCTTCCCCCTAGAATCCTTCACAAATTCCTTGTCATGTCACAGGAGTGAAAACCATGTTTTTCTCCTGAATAACTTTTTTTTTTTTTTYTTTTTTTATTGCTGCAATTCACACAACTTGTCAAACAGAAACCTCCTGATCATAGTGATTCCTCTAGTATCAGAGAAATGGTTTTGGTAGTGTTTTAGAATATAAATACATAAATCTTGAAAACCAACCAGTTCCTCTCRATTACAGGTCAAAGGAGACTCACTAATGCAAAGCTGAAGAAAGACACAATATAAAACAAGTATTTTGTGCAAGCTTCTCTTTTAGATATCTCTTTAAAGATAAAGCAAAACTTTTAAAGCTCTGCTTGAAAATTACTAAGATTAGTAAAAGCACCGAGGTGTGGTTATACTTGTGGTTTGTTTTTCTCCTTTAGTTAAACATACTTTTATTTCAGTGTAAAGTGAGTAAGTTAGACTAGCAGTGAAGATTTGTGACATCTAAATGAAGGCATGTAAACCTACCCACAAGTAACCTCTGAAAAAAATCATTGCAGCAACAGGTAAAGATCCTGCCATGTCTGTTTTTTCTGTGTTTTGACTTGAGTCAGTCTGCACCAGATACTGCCTAATTGCAGATTAATTATATAAATCTGTCTGTGCAAAGATCTGTTMAAGTATTTTCCCTTGTTAGGTTTAACTTGAGCATGTGTGTATACACTTGCATGCATCAGTCTGATTTGCTATTTATCAAGGCCAGTGCTGACTTGGCGGAACAGATGCTTCAAGATGGAAACTTCAACTGCTCATTACTTGAATTCTTGGATTAAGAATCATCAACCTGTCTGGAGGAAACAAGACAACTTACTCAGTGGCTGAAACAAATCTTTACTCAGATTTTAAGTCTTAATAACTTCAAGTAATAGCCTCACATTTCTTGGTTTAGATATGTATCAAATGTTTTCAGCCCATCTGGGAAAAGGAAGTGCATAAAAGTTTTTTATTGTTTCTAGTCCATTTTTTGACCTTTATATGCTTTATATATATAWATGAACTTCAGAGAATTTATTACAACAGGACTTTCTGAGAATAACAAGTCACTGACTCATCTTTAAGACATTAGTTTCTTCTGTATTTTCATCTGTTGTCATGCAGCTTCTCAGCACGGACTCGTTAGACAGTAGGCTCAGAAACTACAGTAGCATGCTCTTTAAGCATGTCATTTAATCATTTCTGTACTATTAGTACAGATGGAAATCTATACAGAGTGTAATTTCACAAGATTAATTAAACTCTATGCTCGGAAAATCGCATCTATGATTTTTTGAAAAGCAATTCTTCTATCACTGGGGATTTTGGTAGAAATTACCACTACTCTTCTGCTTTTTTTTTTTCCTGCCTCACCTATGGAACACTGAAGCTACCTGTTTTTCGAGATCAGATGCCGTTGGCAACATTTGTTAGCAATGGGTGGTCCTGTCCTGGTTTTTAACTGCTAGAATATATGAGGTAAAATCACATGCTTATGTATTAAAGAGAGCCTTTTTGGCCTCAGASTGTTTACGCTGAGAAATCTGTTAACAAATGCTAACACTGTAAAATYGGTATAGCTGCATATTTTGGCTGAAGTCTCCTGATTAGAAAAATAACATGGAGTGGTTTGGGTTTTGTGAAATGCAGGGTCCACCACATGGGAGATGGAGCCTTTACAGGCTCTTGACACAGCACAGGAATAGCCTGGCTGAACACTTGTTTAAGAATCCCTTAGCATAATAAGGTAGGGCGAATTTGGAGCTAACTTCTGATGCTGAGAATAAAAATAATTGAGGGATGAAGTCAGAAAAAGCCCCTCACTGCCTATTCTGTGTTCCTTCAAGTAGGGAATGAAAAGATCTTGCCCATAATCAACCAACTGCAACGTGCCAAAAGAAGATCCTGGAGACTGCAGAGCCTAATATCTGCATGGTACAACATGAGTAGCCCTTACTAAAGGGATTCTGACTGACCACTTTCGCTACACAGAGAAACTGATGACCTATGTGACTATGTATGTCCTCTGTGATAGCTGGGTAGCWTAATCAGAGCTAGAGCAGAAATCTGTATTTCCATGTAGCTACATCCTTGGCGGTGAAGCAGGAGAGCTGATCCTACCAGAACTTCTGTCTTCAGAATTTCTAAAATTAGTGGTAAATTCTTTACTCAAACACTCTTGCATTTAGCAAGGAAGAATCCTGCAGGTTCATAGTGGCAGACTGGACAAGTTCATAATCATTAGATCTAAAAAACGATTTTTTAAAAATAGGAGTTTTTGGTGCACATTATGGAAAAGGTTATTTAATGATACTGCTTGTAATCAACAGAAAAGTGTAAAATGCAAAGTTTGGTGATTTAAAGGGGATAATTTTACAAAGCCAAAAGAAAAATCAGGCTAAAATAGTGCTAAATGAATAACTAGGTTGAGTCTAAATGTATTGAGGAGGGGCCTCAAAGTCTGCACAAATTGGAAAACATGGCCAAGTTAAAACATCCCATCTTAAAAGAACAACCTCTTTATTTCAGCCTCTTTAGAGGGGATTTTGTTAAGCAGTTGCAGAATAGAGAAACAAACAAACAAAAACCTAGTTATGATGAATATAGCCTGGACAGTAATGATTATGGAAAAATAATAAGGAGGAAAAAAAGAGACACAAAAGAAGTCAGTGACCTGCATAGAAAGGAACAGGTAAAAAGACTCTTCTAAAATGCACTAAGAATTCTAACAACTGTCTGTTGCTAGATAAAAGAGCTAGAATTGCTGATAAGCATGCAGAAAAGGGCTAAATACTCCTCTGCTATGTTTAATAAAAGRGTAGGTAATGTATTTCTATCCTGACAAAACATTTTCCATTTCAGCAGTAATTCAAGAGTATATTAAAACAGCTAATATTAATGTTCTTAGATCAGTGTGTCTGGATAGCTTCATATTGAGAATTTTAAAAAAAAGAAGACAGTGAGCTTTCAAAATTAATACTTAACAATTGTTAGAACAGTAGACATGTTCCACCCACAAAGCTAGAATTGGGCCAATATTCAAAATAAAATGTAAATTAAGCGATAGAGGTAGTTATAAGTTTGCCTTGTGGCATTAATTCTGAGCAGCTTAATGATTATAGTCAATGCAGGGATTTATTAATATAGAAGGGTAATGTAGTTTATGCTTTGACAAGACCTTGCCAGAATAGCTTTGGTCATAAAAGATAACAATGTTTATGCAGTACATTTCTGTTAAGTTGATCATTTGATTCAGTTCAACATTTTTGACTAAACATACTAAATGACAAGTCTTAATGCTTTTTTCTTTTTTTTTTTTTCCAGATAGAACGTTGTCCATGGTGTATTTCTAATAAAGTCTTGTGGGGATAGCTTCTTAATAACAAGCTAATTGCTTTTTTAAAGGTGTAAAAGGAAGTATAATTGCTGATAGATTTTTTTTTCATAGAGCCTGCACATACTTTTATGTATATAGTGAAAGTCTTCTGAAGATGTCCGTACTGGAACTGGTCCTCTTTAACATCTTTATGGATGATCTGGATGAGGGGATTGACTTCACCCTCATCAGGTTTGCAGATGGCACCAAGCTGGGAGGAAGAGTAGATGTGCTTGAGGGTAGGAAGGCTCTGCAGATCTGGACAGGCTGGTTCAATAGGCTGTGTGAGGTTCAACAAGGCCGAGTGCCAGGTCCTGCACTGCGGTCACAACAACCCCACGCAGCACTACAGGCTTGGGGCAGAGGGGCTGGAGAGCTGCGTGGCAGAAGAGGATCTGGGGGTGCTGGTTGACAAATGGCTGAACATGAGCCAGCAGTGTGCCCAGGTGGGCAAGAAGGCCAACAGCCCCCTGGTTTGTATCAGGAACAGGGTAGCCAGCAGGACCAGGGAAGGGATCRTTTCCCTGTACTCAGCACTGGTGAGGCCGCACCTCAGATACTGTGTGCAGGTTTGGGCCCCTCACTGCAAGAAGGACATGGAGGTTCTGGAGAGAGTCCAGAAAAGGGCAACAAAGCTGGTGCCGGGGCTGGAGCACAGATCCTACGAGGAGCTGCTGAAGGAGCTGGGGTTGTTTCCTCTGGAGAAGAGGGGCCCAGGGGAGACCTTATCATTGTCTACGACTATCTGGAAGGAGGCTGTAGTGAGGTGAGGTTGGTCTCCAGAATAACGACAGGTAGGACAAGAGGAAACGGCCTTAAGTTGCGCCGGGGAGGGTCAGGTCAGACATTAGGGGGGAATTTCTCCCTGGAAAGAGCGGTGAGGCCTTGGGCCAGGCTGCCTAGGGAGGTGGCGGAGCCCCCGTCCCTGGCAGTGCTCAAGGAACGGGCACATGAGGCCCTTAGGGACAGGCAGGKCGCTGAAGGGCTCTCGGGTGGACTTGATGATCTTGAAGGTCTTTTTCAACCATCATGATTCTCTGATTTTATGTATTCCTGAACACTGTATATAATCAATGAAGAGGCACAGGCAGCCAGATCTAGGCAAGTACTAATTCCATTCAAATTCTCTATTTATCTTGCAGTAAACCTAGGTACAAGTTTTATGAATTCAGTTTTCAGTCTTTTATTTTCAGCCCCATTTTCTTTATTAGATACAAAAGCATATATAATGGATTTAAACTTACCATCGGTAGGCTTGCTTTTCTTAGTGATCTGTTGAGGACTCCTAGTAGTTCATAAGCTCCCAAAGAGACAGCTGCAGTTTTATAAGTTTGTTGTTTATTTTTATCAATAGCAACTTTAAAATTACATGTAATGTAGATACTTATATGGAGCAAAAACTATAGGAATYGATTCTTTGAGCTATCAGATAATGGTATATCAAAGCTGCCAGTTGAATGGCTGGGGCTAAATGTGGATATTTTCAGTCCCAATTCCCTCTCCTAAAGTGGATGTCACTATTTATGTTCTGATGGGGGAGGCAGGGAATGATCATCTTTTTTAGCTATGCGTGGAGAAACACTCAAAAAATGACTTATAGATCACTACAATTTAGAAATAACCTGGTAATATGATTTTGTTGCTCTATTTTTGCTGTTGGGCATCCTGGTTCCGTGATCTGTTCAGGACAGTGATTCCCAACTCAGAGGAGCAAAGGACTAGGCAGCACCTCTTGTCCATTTAACAGGATGTCCCAGGGAGGAAGGTAACAGTTGGAAAGAACCAGACCTCTTGCTATCAGGAGCAGCAGTGGCAGGATTTTCACTCAGTCAGAGGATACTAGAATTACGACAGGTTTTGTTCTTGCTTAATAATAAGGGTAATAACGCAGATGACCATTACATTTTCTTTTTCAGCAGCTTGATTGACACTTTCTAGAAAGAGGAAGTTGAGGAACCAGAAAGTAATTTCCAAAAATATCCACCGCAAGATTTGATTTTCCATGTGCCTGCCACAATCCTCTTTGAACTCCACTGAGGACACATTAAATATCTTTTTCAACAATGGACTGAACAACTGAATGCCACTTATCAGGAAAAATAATGGCGCGGATCACAAAAGCCAGCCTCATGCTGTAGCAGGAAGGAGAGTTGAGTGTTTGATAGGTGTTTCCCACGAAGGTTTTTGAAGGTGGGCTCAATTTTCCCCCCAGTAACACTATGAAAGAGTGGAAGAGGAATGCCACTGTGTGACAAGAGTGTTTAAAACCCTGATCTTAGTCAGAGCTCCAGAATCAGAGTGTATTTGGACTTAGAACTGAAGCCAAACTCTCACTAGAGCACAGCTGCCTTTTAGTGCCCATCACAAGGTCTTAGCTGACTCATGCAGAAGTTACACGACCAGCTGCTCCCAGCCTCAGAGATCCCAGTCCTCAGTATTCAGCCCTGACACAATGAGGCTGTACAGTACAACCTGTAGGCAAAAATAGTCCTATCTCCTGTTCACTTGGGGGCTTACAGACAAGAAGATTGCATTCAGTTCACTGGATGGGGGAATTTCTGTGTGTTTGTAACTGTGTGCTGTAATGAAAAGTCACAGCTGCATCCTCCTTCATGGTTTCTGTTTGCCTCGTGATGAACTCTTCCCATGGCTCCACACGGTTCAACTAAGTTTCATTTGGTTAGGTAAGGCCCAGTCAGAAAACAACCAATTTGCCAACACTGGAACTATCTAGAAACAAGATGACAGGGGAAACATGACTGTGATTATCAGTGATGACTCATATTCCTGTGCACAATAGGGCTTCAGAGCGAATGTGCACGCAGAGAAATATTCTTCACACACACACACACACAAACACACACACACAAAAAAGCAATATCAGTAATATTAGTATATCTATTAAAAAAAAAAAAAAGTCAAATCAAATGATATAGACGCTGAGATCTCTAGTGATGTAGGCAGGATACTTCTAGCTCTCAACTTAGTTTAGCTGGCCATATTATTCCCGTAAGGTGAAGATGCATTCAGTTTGACATTTCTTTAGAATGTTTTTATTTAACTTCCCAGACAAAGGCCAAATACTTCATTATGTTGAATAATAAGCAACATAGGTATAATTTATGCTACTCTTTGTTGCTTTTTCATGAATTTCTGCTCTTCTAAAATGTTTAGAGCCTGATTAACAGAAATATTTTTTCAATGAGAAAAACATTAAACTGTTAAAATATCAGCACTTGCAACTTCAAGTATTATTCAGATTACTTTATACAAATCATGTTGGAAAAACAGAGAAAAACAATATATGGTAAAATTCTAAATCCAACTTTGTTATAGTATTATTTTAAGAATATTTATCCAGTTATACTTAAAGTTTAAAAATATTTTCCAAAAAGAGAGACTTAAATTGCAGTCATCTATGCTACGTAGCTGGAGTTTCCACTTGTAGTATATTACTCACTTTTAAAAAGCTTGCTTTTTCATCATTTCTTTCTTCCTGAAAACACTTTTTTGTTGTTGTCGATGTAGTATTAAAAAAGAAGAAGAAATGTTTTTTCTGAGAACAAGGGTCCAGATGGAAAAGCTTTCCCTGTTTTAATAATGATYTGTTAAAGATTTTTTTACAGGAGCTGCTCTAGATCACACTGCTCATGTCTAGGTCTTTCGTGTGTGTATGAACACATGGAATACTACAGCTCATGAATGCACAGTGCATTTCAAAAAGTGTTTACCTCACTGGTTTATAACATGCTCGGTTAAGCTCTAGAGCCAGCTTATGCTTAAACACATAAATAATGTGGCAAGTTGGATGAGGCAAGAACTTAACCACAAAGGGCTCAATCACTGTGCTCCTTGAAAAACATAAATAAGACAACGGAGTGGAGTAGTTCATTCAATCTTTTAACACAAGGCTTCTTTCTTTCTAGATTGCATATTGATAACTTGATAGATAAAATACAAATCTTTTTATTAGTKATTAGAAAACCTTGCTTCTGTGCAATTAAAGGATAAGTCCTAAGGTTTTATAAATCTGGCAGACAGAATGGGGTACAAAGTGTCCTAAAATATTACAGAGTCATATGTAATCTGTGGAAAGAAAAAAATCTGTCATTTTATTGCACAGGAGAAACAAATTAATATAAGATGCCTGTATTGGTAGGAACAGGCTAAACAAATGTGATTACACCTCATTCTGTATGTTTTATTTTCAAGTGCTTTGCCACATACTGTTCCCGTTTTCCAAACTTTAGATTTTATATTCAGATGTGACTTACTGGAAATGGAAAGAAGGAGAAGTGTAAGGAACAAAGAGCAGGGTAACCCTTTTCCTTCGTGTTAGCACTACCACTTCACACGAGCACAGCTGGTTGAAACTGCATGAATTGTCTTTCATCAATACTCCTACATCTGCATCCATTTCTGCTATTTTAAATCTTGTATTAAACCCATCCTGTGAGCACAGGGAAAAGCACCTGTGAGATAGTTATGGATCACAGCAGAGCTCCACCACTGGTGAGCTTGGTCCACAGTGTTATATCACAGCAGCATTTTGCAGTGATCCTTTGCTGGTGACAATCCAGGTGACAGCATGTGTAGTATGAAACAGGAGCAATAGACTTTCCTGGGACCTAGTTTAAGAAGAACAAAAAAAAGCTCTGTGTTTTTCAAGCCAAGGACACTGTGCCACTATTAAACTAGTCTCATGTCAGTGTTTCTTTCAACAGTACTGCATGGAAAGACACTATGATGCAATGCCTGTTGTCCTCTGCTTTGAATGCAGGAGTAATAATACCAGTAATAGAAAGCTACGTAATCATCAAAGTGGCCAAAGAAGTTGGTCATTCACACCGAGTTACACAACTTAAGGAATTCCCCTTTACAAATGTCTTTTAAACATTACTCCACTGTATTTTTGAATATCCACCCTTTCTCAATTGCTGTGGGCTCATAATTCACTGAATTAGGTTAAATTTACTCTTACTGGCAACCGAAAAATGGCAAGTGCTAAGATTTGCAGGAGTTGTATGTTGAAGTAGTCCTGGGATCCACACTTTGTAAGATGTGTTCAAGGTTCCTATATATTTCATAAAGTTAGGTGCCTAAG